CGGGCGGTTTTTTTTTTTTTGCCTCTATTTTGGGGGATGCTGCAAGGAAACTTAGTTTTAGCTACTCTTGTATTTTGCTCCTATATCTATTCTACTCACTTTGCCCTTTTTTTTCTTTCTGTTTCTTTTTTTCTTTTCCAACATTCACTCCAATAAAAAGTGCTTTCCGGCCTCTGGCAGCAATAACGAGCGGCTCTGCCGTGTGTCTGGTCTATATTTATGCTTCCTGGGGGGTAACGTGCGTTTCTGCGCCCTTCCTGCAGGGATCGAAGCTGGAGATCCCGCTGTGGCTTGCCAAAGGGCTGCATGACAGCAAGAGGCGCATCATTTCCATGGAGCTGCCCAAGATTTACCGGGAAGCCTGGAGGACCGTGTTCAGCGCCGATGCCAACGTGGTGGATCTGCATAAAATGGGACCCTACTACTACGGGTTTGGCTCCCAGCTCCTGAACTTTGACAACCCGGAGAATCCCGAGATAGCTCAGACCATCCTGCAGGCAAGTGATTGAGCCAAGCTGGAATTTCACATGATGGTTTTTTTTCCCCCCCCTTTTTTTTTTTCTCCCTCCTGGGGCTGGTCAGTCTCTTCTCCAAAATAACTACTGAAAACAGGACAAGAGGAAACGAACCTCCCTGGGGCAACTTGACGCCAAGTTAGATATTAGGAAAAATTTCTACATAGAAAGAGTGGTCAAGCAGTGGGACAGGCTGCCCAGGGAAGTGGTGGAGTCACCGACCCTGGCAGTGTTCAAGGTGTAGGTGAGGCACCTGGGGACATGGTTTAACAGGCAGGGTGGGGATGAGTTTATGTCTGGACTCAATGGTCTTGAAGACCTTTGGCAACCGTAATGATTCTATGAATTCTATATGAATTCTATGATTCTATATCACTCCTGTTTATCTAACCTGTTTTTAAAGCTCTCTGATGATGGGAGGCTTCACAGTCTCCCTGGACATTCATGTTTCAGTGCTTCACTATTCTGGCTGGAGAAGGTTTCGTCTGTTTAAACTAAACCTTCTTTGCCCCAGTATAAGCTCCGTTCTATTTGTTCCATCCCAAGTAAACACAGCAAACAGATTATTCCCTTCCTTCCTCCAGGATGCTTTTATGTATTTGAACACTACAGAGTGTGTTCCTGATCCTAGTTTGCTCCATGCTGAAATAAATGGTCCCAATTCATTCAGTAGCTCCTTGTGGGTCATGCTTTTTGGCCTGTGCTTGTCCTTATTGTGCCCTCCTGGAGACTTTCCAGTTGATCTGCATCTGCTCTGAAGTGCCCTGAGCAGCAGATATTCTCCTGCTTCGGTCTTGCCTTGTACCAGTGAAAACAAAACACAGCAAAATTGCTTTATGAATTTGCTAGGCCATGCTACGATTTGCTCCTGCTGCTGTAGCACATCCAGGCCCAGTCCAAACTGTGGTTCCTGGTAGAGGTTGCTACCCAGGCCATCCTATTTCATCCTGTGCTGGCACGGTTCGTTATTTTTGCCCTACTGTGAAGCCTTGCACTATTCCCAAGCAAATTGCATCCTGTTATTTTCAGGCCATGGCTCTAATTTCTCAGGGTGATTGTGAATTACCGTTCTGCCCCTCAGGGTGCTGCAGTTGCTCCTCTTCCCGCCTGCCCCGTGTTGTTTGCAAACTTAAGAAGCATAATTCCTATCCCAATATTGAGCTCATTAATGAGAATATAAAATAGTTCTGGGTTTCAGTTAGAACCCTGTAGGATCCCACTCAATATATTTTCCCTTCCTGATAAGAGCTACCAGTAGATATCTTTACCCACTCGTTATCTTCAGCTAAATATGATTTAGCTACGTCTTACAAAATTGCTTCGTGAAGGGCATCTTTTTGCTGCCTTTCCTTTTCTTGAAAGGCCCAATATCCTGTCATGGGAAATTAGGCTGGCTGCAGAAGTTTATTCTTAACAAATTCGTTCTGGCTGCCATTCTTCTCTTTATTTTCTTCCAGGATTTTATGTATAGTCTGATTGTTCTGTATGTTTCCAGGAATTGTTATTAAGCTGATGGATGTACATAGTTCCCTGGCTCCCTTTTTCCCTCTGAAAGATGGTATCTATCTTTGCCCATTTCCAGAATTCTATGACCTCTTCTGTCCTTGAGCTTTTAAAGATAACCACTAACAGCTCCGAGACTTCTTCAGCCAGCTTTCCAAGGAGTCTTGGATGATTGCTATTGACTTCTGCCTTTTAATGAAGACTGATGCAGAGAAGCTTTAAAGCACTTTTGCTTGGAGGTGCCCATTGAAAGCTTGCCGTTTGCTTTGAGAAGATCACCACACCTTTGCTTGGCTTTCTGCTGATGTATGTCTGGGGAAAAGAGCCCCTTTTGCACAGTTTCTCTGTTGGCAGGAAAGAATAATCATGTGGAGTGTGATTATTTTGTTTTATTTTATTTTATTCTATTTTATTTTGCTTCAGTTAGAGCGGGAGGGTAATTTTCTTTTCTTTTTTGGTCTAAGCGTTTAGGAACCAGAATTAAAACAAACGAGTGAAGCATGACCATGTAGTGTTTATGATTTGTAAATTGATTTTTTTTTTTAATTTGCTTGCTGGTTAAGGTTTTATCAGCATTCTGAGCCCCTTCCAGTGACGATTCTGGCTTATCTCCCAGGCAGTTCATAAGCTGCAGCCCCCGTGTTCGTGTGGCAGCCATCGTGGCAGGAGGTTCTTGCAGCTTGGGGTCTCAAGGGCTCCAGCGCTTGAGCGGGGGGAATCCTTGCATTATCTGGCAGTAATTCTGCTTCTCTTGCTTAGACGTTTGTAAGCCGTTTCCGCCGCATCATGGACTCCTCGCAGAACGCCTACAACGAGGACACGTCGGCGCTGGTGGCTCGCCTCGACGAGCTGGAGCGAGCTCTGTTTCGAGCTGGCCAGAAGGGGCTGAATGACTTTCAGTGCTGGGAGAAGGGACAGGCTTCTCAAATCACAGCCTCCAGCCTGGTCCAGAATTACGGGAAGAGAAAGTTCACGGATATGGAGGGCTGAAAGCCCAGGAACACAGAGCTGCGGAGGGGACACTGAGCGAGCTGCAGTCTGTCTGGCACAGAAAAGAAAGATGAATCAGCTCTGGGAAAAGCCAGACTCCTTGGCTGTTAGTGGGAATTTTTCTCCATAACATCTTTGGATTAGGCAAGTGCAAACTTTAGAGGCAGATGGCAAGCATATAAAAATAATAATAGCTTGCAACACAGGATAGCTTTACAGCTTATTCATACCACTCCTGAGGATTTGTAATTCTAGTGCTTCGTCCACAGCTGAAAGAATATGAGAGGTTTTTCTGAGAGGTTAATTAATATTTATTATTCTCTACCTTCCAAATTGATACTCCCAGCACCAGATCTGTGTAGGAGAGGGGCAAGGGGAGTAATGTAGTTCGTTATATTTCACCTTGGCACTTGCATTCCAGCCTCCTGGGCTACTTCCAGCTTCCCTGTTCTTTGGGAAACCCCACTGCTGTGAGAAGTGTGTGGTACAAACTGATCTTTTCTTTCTCAGGTCGTGATCCATAGAGTCGTAGCAGCTGCTCCTCGTTCAGCAGGAGGGGTTCCTTGTTTGTTTGTGTTTCGGCAGCTTTTGTGGGCAGCTTTGGCGCAGGGACGAAAACCCTCTGTTTAGCCATGCCCCAATGGGAAGTTGCCTTGCGGGTCTCAAACGCCGCTTGTTCCTCCCTTTCGCCTGGCCCGTCGGGGACTGGGATCATCCGCGGTGGGGGAGGACGTTCCCATTCCACGCGGGCAGCTTTTGTGACGGAGGAGGCTCCACAAAGGGGCCTGTGTTGAGCTCGTTTCGCAGAGGAGCCATCGGGAAGTAACAACGCGGCGGTCCGGGCTGGATCCAAAGCAGCAACTTTAATGGAAACTGCCCCCCGTTATTAGCCTGAGCCATCTGCTTTCCCTGGAGAAATTGTGGTTGCTCAGTTTGGCTAATAGTGAAGAGAGAGCAAATGAAATGAGATCCTTCCTTCGGATCTATCAGTAAAGCATCCTAGGGAGTGTTGCTTTTGCCAGTGGAGCAACTGGAATTGGAACTTGCTAAACAACACAGTAGTTATTATCCTATATAGATGGAGCTCTCCTTAAATCTAATTTTTGTGTAAATCTCGCTGAATGAATGGGGACAGGAAACATGCTTCCCTCTGTGGGAAGCAGTTCCCGAGGCCAACAGTGTGGTCATCTTTTGGAAGTAAATACTGGATGTTGTAGGAATGTTTCTGCACCTCTGCCCTTGAGGAATAACTCAGAAGAGGGCCTTGATCCCAGTAATACTGAGCCCTTCCTCCTCTTTGGGAAGCACTGGGAGGCAGGAGCAGCGGTGAAACAAAAAGATTGGTGATTTTGTTTGTGGAAGATCCAAATCTTCTGGGGGCTTTTATGGCAAACAGAATTGGACAGCCGGTGTGTCAAACTGCACAAAGGAGCTCAAGTGCAAAGGGAGCACGGCCATTCCTTGGAGAAGAGGAGCGAAAGCTCTGCCGGAGCAGGTGCTGCATCCCGCTCTGGATGCGGAGCACGGAGCCTGTCCTGCCACGGGGCATGGATGGGAAGCTGTTTCTGACCGAGGATTCCCAGTAGGTGCAAGATCTAATGCTGCTGCACTTAATGGCACATGATAGCCTCTGCATTTTCCTGAAATGTTTGTGAATTTTTCCATTTTTCCATTTCTGTGAATAAATATTTTGTAAGGGAAAGTCCTTCATGGAAACGTCTGTGGGTAATTTCCCTGCAGCAGAAAAATAGTTGTAAGAAAACACAGGCCTTTGGAGACCTGCAGCCAGGAGGGGTAATGCAATCTCCTTTACAGAATTCCTCTTTTTTAGGTAGCATGTTTTGGAGTTCAGTGCCTGCAGTTGTGTGAGTTCCTGCCTGTTACCCATGGGGGTAATAGCAGTTTGCCTTAGCCATGGGACGTAACGCCCAATGTGCCAACCCAACATAAGCTGTTGAGCTTACAAGTATGCATCTTGAGATGGGAGATGGATGGAGACGATTCCATGTTGTCTCCAGCTTTGGAATTCTGGCCTGGCTTATGGCACAGCAACAGGGAGCGGATGGGAATGGAAGCAGCCGAGTACAAGCTCAGGGATGGTCGGGTGCCGAGCGTAGCCCCTCTCGAGTCGCCCGTCGAAGCAGGGGGGAAGTCAGTTTAAGCCCATCTTCAATGAAAAATAGTTTAGATTTGCAAGTATTATTTTAAGAAGAAAGTGGCTTTGAAAAAAACCCAAATCACTAATTCCTCTATTTCCCTGACCTTTTTGGAATCCAAGCTCTTTTTCCTGCATTTCTAAGAATACTTTTCTTCTCTGACGCCGGGAACAAAATCCAAGCAGACGGTGCACATTTGCCTGCGTTTCATACAGCTGGTTTCAGAGTGAGGAGAAATAATCCTTTTTTTTTCCATGAGAGCAGTCCTCATTGTCACTGCAGGACTGGCTTCTTGCAAGGAGTCACTATGGCTTTGTGTAAACCCGAGGGGTTCGTAATAAACACCAATCCTGTGAATTTAAATTGCAGTGTTTAGTTAGGAGATTTTGATACATTCTTTTTATTTTCCTAGCTGGCTGAAATGCTTTATTCTTTCCAGAAATGCTTCATTGTTGCTGCAGACACCCACCGCTACTGAGAAGCCTTTTAAGTTAACTAACAAAAGCCTCCTCTGTAATTTTTATGAACACATCCTGTCCTTTATGGTCACACAGCAGCAAGCTCTAAGTTAGAGCAGTTTGGACTTGCCTATTTTGCCAAGGGTGCAATAAATCCTCGTTGCAGAACTGTACAAAAGAGGTCTGAAAAGGACTTTTAAGAGTCATTGCTCCCAGTGACCCTCAGTTTTTAAATTGAAGGACTATTTATGCTTATGAAAAAACATTTTGCAGACTTTGGGGGTTTTTTTACAGTATTGACACCGTGCTTTTTGCTACAATCAAATAAAAAGTTGGTGACATTTGCAATGCTGATTAGTTATGTGTTTATGTGAGAAAATTTGAGTTTGAATGGTCGCTTGCCCAAAAGGGCTATGGGCTGGGGCCAGTCCTTTCCCTATAGCAAGGATTAGCTCTGTCCAGCTCATCTCAGAGCCACATTTGTCTAACCAGGTCTTTAGAAACCTCCTTTGCTGGAGGAGCCCCAGCCTTCTTGGATGATGGGTTTGTATTTACTGTTCTTCCTGGCAGCAAATCCCTGTCAGGACAATTAGTGAAACCCAAAAACTCCTTCCTTGCCTGTGCTTCAGCTTAGCTCTGTTAAAACTCTTAGTGCTCTTATCCCTTCTCTGTATTTTTTGTCGTGCAAAAGAGGCAGCCACAGAGGTAGGATCCGCAGTGCAATACCAACAGCTTTGCAAGGAGCAGCCACAAGCTTTCCCGGCTAAATCATCCTTCCATAAAACACTGGTGTTTTTCCCTTTGCCTGGAATAATGTCTCGCTTTGTCCTCCGTCCCTGCCTGATTTGGGGTCGGCAGGAAGAAGCTCTTGCTTCTGCCAGGCTGAAAGCAATCGGTGTCGTTCTGATTTCTGTATCAGAGATCTGTAAGCATCAAATCACATGAAAAAAGCAGCAACCCGGAGAAGCAGCAGCCAGAAGTGTTTAGAGAAGTGACACACTTTAACGCCCTGTGCTATTTCTGTCGGGAGACAACGGCACCTGGGCTCGGAGCACGAGCCTCGCTGACGCTCGGGGGCGATTTCCGGAGCCGTTTTTCGGTCGCTGGCTCTTTCGGGACCTGCCTTCCAGGTTTTCATGGAGCTGGTTGCACAACAGAGATCCAATATAATCCGAAAGAGACAGGGCGAATTTTACATGGAGCTTCTTATGTGCCCAGACATGGCTGTTTTATAAAGCCCGTTGATAGCTCGGGAGCTTGTGGCTTCGTTTGAACTCCAGCGCTCTCAGCTTGGCACAGGGCAAGTCACACAGCTACTCCTTGCCTCAGTTTCCCCTTCAGACCAGTGAAGATATCAGACCCTTATTAGAGGATTTGGCCCCCTGGGTGATAGCCAGCACCTGATTTTGTTGCAGCAAATCTGCTAGACAGATTTCACAGCTGTATTGCATCTGCTGAGGCTCAGATCCTTCCTTGGTGAGAACTCAACAGAGCATCTAAAAGATTCCCCTTTTCAGAAATCACTCCCATTTCCGTGATCATTCCTCCTAAAGCCTTTCTGCCAAGCTTCTTCAGGGCTGCCCCACAGCTGATAACATTAAATATAAGGATTTTTCCTGGTCTGTCCTACCTGAACAGCAGCAGCTTTAGCAGAACCTGGCACAAAACGGATGGATGGGAAGGAGGTTGCGGTGGATGCAACATGTGAGTAACGAGGGAGGCTCCTCTGTACATGCAACTCACGTCCAGTGTTTCTGTTTCGCCAGACTGGGTTGGGATCTGCTTTCCTGGGTCTGACTTCAAGCAGACAGCCTGGTTTCAGTCTGGACAAGCAGATCTTGCCTTTGAGGGGAGCTCTGCCGGTTTGGGCTTCCCTCATAAGTGCCTCCTGGCTGAAGAGCTGCTGAGGCTTTGCCCTAGGACGTATCTTCTGCCTCAGTGGTGGAGGTTGTTGCAGAATGGAAACCAGTTCTTTTTCCAGAAACTAAACCCAAGCTAGTGTCATCAGGATCCTGAAGACAGCGTAAACCGGTTAACATCATGTACACAGCTGCAGTGGAGACAAAGCCAACCCCCTAAGGGTTGAACATGTATATTAATTATTTCTTTGAGTTTTTACCTAGGTTATTGTGACTCTGTGTGTGCAAAACTATGCAGTTCCTCAGTGCCAAGATAAGTCTGCAATCAATCAAGGCCCACGAAGTGCAAAGCAGAAAGCGTCGCGCTTTTTGCCTTCTCTGCCCGAACAGCGTCGTCATCTCTAGTTGGACAGAGCGGTTGGGTTGGAGATCCGGACCCTGCTCGTGCTGCCCAGTTGCAGAGCCACCAAGTTGCTCGTTCGGCCCCAGCCAGCGGCAGCCTCTTTGTTTCTGGCTAAGATGCACGTGTTGGGT